TCCACCCCTAAACGTGAGATGTAAGCAGATTGTACGAAAATGTACAAATGAGACAATTTGTACAAATGTACAACTTCATATGAATTAGCCACTAATTTGCAAAAATGTAAAATAGTTATGAATTGCTATGAGAGCCTGTTGTTTTACACATTGCCTTTAGTACCGCAATTTGTAGTAAATCCAGAGTTATAAAGAATGCTAACCCCATTCCAAAATTTAAAAAGTATGAAACATTGTTTTACCCGAGGTTGAAGGTGGGATTTAAAAACTCAATAAACTGCTTTTTAAGAACAGTGAGAAAAGCCACCTTATTTTTCCAAGCAATTTTCTTTGAATGTGCGAGACTTCCGATTCATTAGCTGAGAACGTGAAGCTATGTCACGTTGCACGCTGGGGTGCCGCTGCCAATCTGGGAGGATCGCCCTTCTGCTACAAATGCTGAAATTAATACGGACATAGATATGCATACATATCTGTGAATACGGATACACCTGTTTATCTTTTGTTTTGTTTTTGCCTTGAAGTTAAATATTCACATTCTTCATTGTATCGTTTTCAGGGAAGAGAAGCTATTTTATCGCTTCGCATGATAATTAGATTTTTTTCACATAAATTTTGCAGAATTTCGTTTACAATGTTGATCTGATTACCGTGAAAACAGTGTTGCATGCTGGACGCTTGCTGCTGCTCCGGCCATATATATGGTATATACAGTATGGTAGAATATCCAAATAAAAGTATGTGTTCAACAAGCTGACAGAAGTTCATCCATTTCTTTGTTGGAAGCATTTCAATGACGTATAATTGTTGTCATTGTAAATATTAATATTTCCATGGCCATGGAGGAGAATCAGAGATTGCTGGTCACATTCAGCGGACAGACACAAACACACTGAATTTTTTATATTTATTTCAACAAATGACAACCAAAATCAAATCCCTGGGAGCTTGTTAACAGTTTTGTAGCATTTTAAAATGCTGACTTGATGTACTAAGACCATAGACTGTATAAAAACATGGACGTAGTGTCCGTGATGTCACCCGTAGGTTTCTGAAGAGCGTTTTTGAAGCTCAAAGTTGGCGGAGCCGGCCATCGCCATCTTGGCAGCGCGTCACTCCCGGATAATCGAAAATGGGCAAAGAGGCGGGAGCTGGTTGCTGAAACCACGCCCACCTAGCTCGACGGTGGTGACAGCAGCGGCAATCCACCTGTCACTCAAGTGGCCACGCCCTTAATTATGCAGAAATTTAAGGCTTAATATAATTTAAACGGATGAGTTATAAAGAAATTCACCCCTCTCACAGTTGTCATGAAGGGCAAAATTAGCTATAGACTAAAACCACTTTTTGTACCAGGCTGTAAACATATTTTTTTCTGCTGTAAAGTTGGCCATTTTAACATAGGGAGTCTATAGGACTGACTCCCTTTTGGAGCCAGCGTCTAGCGGCCAGTCGATGAATTGCATTTTTATTCACTTCCGTGTTGGTTTCACGAGAGAGACCGGAAGGTTGCCGCTTGACTAAGACAGTGATATTAAAAGACATGCAGATGAGCCCAGAATATGAACGCAACACATTTAATTACACGTTTAGCATTTTCCTCCCATTAGAAAACCATAAAAACAAAAAATTTAACATGGCTTATGCATTGACAGACAATTACATTTAAAGTTCATATTTTGGGCTCATCTGTTTTCTAGCACATAGTATGCTTTATTAGTAAGGTGTGTTGCGTTGGGTTATGTGACACACAGCAGCCACGATAGTGCTCTATAACTGATGTAGGCTTGGTTTTCTTTCATTTTTCCTTTTTTTATTTGAAATATTCCCAAACTTGTTAACTATATAATGAAATAACTTGATTCTCGAATATGCATAAGTTTTGCATCTATAACAGGTGACAAGTAGCCTAATGTAAGTGTAATCTATTACCTACGCATAAAACCTTTTTACTTAAGTACTTTACTTATGGGTGTCATGTAATAAAATCTTTTTAATATCACTGATTTTGCATTTAACGTGAATTTAATAAAAAACATTGTAAGTTACTGATTATAACGCTTTCATTGTACAGCAAGTAAGCCAAGAACATTTACATTATCAAATAATATTTTCATTGACTTAAATCTAGCGCGAGTTTAAGCACTCTCAAAAAACTCCTTTTTGCCTATAATCAATGAAGCTGTCTATGAATCTCTTGAAGCTGAAATTAATCTCTTAATTACATCGTATGCACATTTGCACTCTGATGTTTATGATTAGAGAATTTGCAATGAGATGAGAGATGAGAGAGTGCAGAATTCAGTCAGCGAGCACGCGCACTGAACAAACCTCCGCGGCATTTCAGCGATGACTAATCTGAACGCTTCTGATTGGACACTGCATTCATAAGCTCAACAGAATCGTCTGTGATTGGTTTAATGCGCAACTCTGCAAAAACAAGTAAAAAAAAGATATGATGCAACATGAGCAGATATAAATTTAATGCCGCAATCGACACTTTTCATTTCATTTTTCACTTTGTTTGCGACAGTGTGAGAAACATAAAATAAACATTAGATGGTTGAAAACACTGAAAAGATTAAGATGACAAGTGAGCGCATCTGTCTCTGTGCCAAAGCGCGAATGCAGATTTGAATTGAGCAGCTGATCATAATCACACAGGTGTGATCTTATCAAATGTAAAAATATTATTAGGCTATTTTTTTGTCTTTTGGAAGCTGGATTCAAAATCCACTTGGATCAAAAATCTGAGGGGCACGTGCCCCCTCGGTTTGAATGGGCATGTCGCCTCTGCTTGAGGGCCCCCCCTGGACCTCGGGACCCCACGCAATTGCGTGGTGCCTAAACACGCTACTGAAGCCACATTAAGCATTATTCGTGTTGAGCAATGTATAATGTCTCTGTTCAAGCTCTGCTAATTCACAAGCCAAGTGAGACTCGTACTCGCAAAGGTAATGTTAATTATTAAACCAAACAAAATCTAAATGTTCAAAAAAATGCAGCAATGTGACTCTTTTATTGAGTGACAGGCAGTGGGTTTAATCAGTAACATTATTAATAAATGTACTAATCAGTCATCTTCACGACCTGCTTCCCTTGGTGTTTTTGCACATAGAAAAGGCAAAAAACTTATACCATTGTCCAGTTTTCTCTGAGAACGATGATCTGAGTTACTATTGCAATTCTCAATGCAGCATGAATGACATACAATGGTGACATTTTTCACAATCACGATAGAAAATCAAACTATTGCCCTAAACTCAATAGTGGAAAGGCAGGGCGATCCTCTTAGTATGGCGTATAAACGAAGAAGTTTCCCAGAACTCAACATGGCTTGACGTCAGCTTCACATTCTCTATAGGTAAATAACTAGAAGAATAACACAGTTCAGTAAACTATATGCGCTACAAACCAGTGTGTTAATGATTATGATAATAAATTTAAATAATATGATGAGAATACCAGTTTGCAATATCAAGCAGCATAACCAACTGTTTTTGTACAGCTAGACGTAACTGGAAGTGGATGAAACCGGAAGCCTCACACATTCAAGTTACAAATGGCCGCACTCACACTTATGCTAAAAATAAGGTGGATAAAGTAGGCCTATTTCAAAGTACCATCTGATATCATTACTGTACCATGGTAATGCCACAGACAGCACTTTTTTGTTAAGGATACGCAAAACATGTCATCTCTCATAAACTCAACTATTAAGCTGACTAAAAAAATAAACAAACATATAAACAATATAAACAGTTTCATACATGACGTGTTTTGATTGGTGGCCAGAATATAGCACATATATATATTCTGTAATTATATATATTCTCTATTCTTATATGACCCACGAAGGCAAAGTTTTGCTGTGATGTGCAAATTTTATCCTATAGAAACAAGTCAAAATGGTGTTGACCTTGTAAACTTTTCTCCTCAACCTTCAGTACGAGTCACAAACACGGCTATTAATTTTTTTCACTAAACTTACACAGCCAGAGGGGTAGCGTGTCAAACTGACACTCTGTTTTACCAGTGATGACATTTAAAAAAACGTATTGTCATTCACGTCGTTGCAAATGGCTCCAATTTAACCATGCAAGAGGAATTGTTGAAGTCAAGGCTCAAGGTAACAGCAGGCATCAGGCAGTCACACCGGGGGGAACAACCTAAACTGCTCTGCTTTTTTCAACTGCCAATGAGATAGAGTGTGCGCTGACTTTAATAGCAAAGCACACACATTCCCTTCAAAGGGGCTGCTTGGGATTCTGGGTTAGGGTTTTGTACAAATACATACCTTTCATAGTTTGTGTCTGTTTTGTGCTTACTAATGTCACTGACCCCTGACCTGGGAGAGGACAAGAGTTATAGATGAAGACACTTAGAGCGGGACACAGTTACAACCGACCTCGAAGCAAAAACAACTCATAAAATCCTATGTGACAATCATGCTATCATGAGGCAATGGTACTGCATAGCTAAAGATGAAGTCATTGATATGTCCTGGAAATATCCCTTCAGTCCAGTGGCTGTGAGCCGAGCCCCCTGCAGGGAGCGCTGACAGGGACAAACGCGCACATCATGTGTCAAACGTGCCGCACTTCTGCATTATACAGACTTAATTACAGGCCAGAGCAGCAGTCGCATCAGCCTTCCCCTTTCCACATGACTGCAGCTATCTGTCTATAGTTCAGAGAAAGAAAAACGAGTCTGTTAACAACCCTCACTGCTACCGGCACTGATACACTCTTGGTTGTTATTTTTGATGCTTTATGTTAAAAATCAATCGTCTCATCTTATAAATATTTCTCCTACAGGAAGTTCTCAGGTTGATTATCAATTTCTAGATGCCCACTAAATTGATCAGGCAGTCTCATGAAGTCTCCATTTCAGTATCAGTGGAATTAGATTTTATACTTTTATATTGTCTAAGGCTAACAGATGAAGTGGAAAAAAAAATAAAAATGAGCACATTACAGGAACCACAGAATGATTCTTACCTATATCTGTTGATCCCATATAAAAAGACAGAGAAACATGGGTATCAGCCACACTTTTGTGTTACAAAATAACTTGTTCCTGCTTAAACACAAGCTATTTATATATAAAATATATATATATACCCAAACTTTTGAACTGTAGTATATATAGATCATTTAAAATAAAAAAATAAAAAAATGGATTGTTATTAACTTGCAAGTATTGTTTACCTTATTGGACTATTATTGGAGAAAGCATTTGTTTTTCTCTCAAATACTAAAAAACAATAAAGATTTGTGTCTCCTGAAGGTACATGAAGATTTAGGGGTGTTAAATACCTGCCAGCAGCTGCTCCATCAACCGAGTCCTGGCTGCCTGTCTCGCTGGGTGTGCTCATTGACTTTGATGGGGACATGGGTGTCGGGACTAAGAACAGACAAAAAAAAAGTCAGATATAAAATGCCGTTCATTTTTTTAATTTATAAAAAATTAAGATACATTTTAACTAGCTACTTTTTTAAACAATTAAAACATTTTTTTTTAATTTACACTGCACTAATTTATACTATTCACAATCAGAATTAATTTAAAAGGCAATGTGGTGAGTATAGAGACCATATTTGTAATGTACATGGCTCTGCACTAGATGGAGGTAGTAGCAGAGAAAGGGATTATAATGACTGTAACAAAATCCATAGAATGGTGAGATAATTAATATAACAAGTAATTGTAAGTTTCTGTTTGCAATAATTAGCGTCTACGTGAAGACATGAAGGGAACCCAGAATATTGCACAGCCTGATCTTGGCAAAGGTAAAAAGGCAATTTTCCGATGTGTTTTGGAGGCAGGCATTGTTGAGTGAGGTGGCTGCGGTGCAGATGGATATTTTAGTGCGGTCCGGTGGTCTGTGTACTGTACCTAATGGAGGTTCGGGTGAGATTCCAATGCTCTGGAGGAGGGCCTCGGTCTCCCTGCGCTTGCGGTCCAAATCTGAGTCCTGAGGAACAGCTTCCACTTTCTGTTGTGTCTCTGACTGTTTACGTTTACAAATGCACACACAAACACACATACTCAGATATTCATATTAAGTTCTAACCACATTCAGAATAAGTCTCATTCAAATATTTTCTCACCTCTTTCTTTTTTTTTTCTTCCTCCTTTCTCTTTTTTTCCTCTCTGATTTGAGCAAGGCGCTGTTTCTTGCGCTCAAGTTCGGCTTTTAGGTCACTCTTATCAGCCATTTTGTCCTGCGACAAAACAGTTACACCACAGACCCACAGTTTTCACATCCATCCCAGTGTAAGCAGGGCCGTATGGAGACTACAGTAGGTAGAACTATATTTAGAGGTTTTGTTCATTAAAAGCAGTAGTTAATCACTCACTACTGCAGTGGAAATCAGTTTCAAGTTGAAGGACCGTTTGTGTTTTCAACAGAAATGCCTTTTGGCATATATCCATGTAATACAATACATTTATGAGAAAACTTATTTAAAATATATATTTATGAGGCATTTGAAACCTAGTTTGATCCCCTAATTCAGCAACAACAACAAAACAATAAATACAGCTGTTTCTGTATTAAGGGTGTGGCTGTATCCATAGGATCTAAGGATAATATTTCTTAAAACTGTAAATCCTAGGCTTTATCAAATGATAAACATAACAAATAAATGTGATGAAATGGAGCGGTAATAACAAAACAATATCAGACTGTGGGGGAAAGCTTTATTAAAACTTAGTTAAAACACCATATATATGGCACAAAACAACATGCAAATGCATAAAAAAAACACAAATCAATAAATAAAAACATGCATTTTGATCGCAAATTATCATGCAAACGTCAAATTTATGGTGCGGACCGGAGATACATCAGGTCCTGTGAGGATGCTACATTAGGTGGACTATCATAATGCTGGATTTGTTGTTACAACAGACTCCAATTCGATTACAGAGAGTTATAGAATATACAATTATTGAAAACCCAGTTATATTACACAGGTGTCAGACAATGATACATTTGGATGTACAAATGATGTCAGCGTTGCAATTGCTAACAGTGGGTAAGAGAAACACAATGACGTCATAAACCATATGCGATTATGAAGTCATCGAACATAAAGCATGAAAAACAGCTCGCCGTTTCAACAAAATGCACGTATGAAACCTCACAGTTATGTGAACATGAGAAACATGCACCCAGTGGGTGAGACTTCCTACCTGTTCCCAGTGTGGATGCTGTCCACTGTAAATATGCTGTATCACTGCTGATGTACACAATCTGCCATCCGCTTTAATACGGCCCTTTGATTTAAAACATGTTTGAGCTTATACGATGTGATCCTTTAGAAATTCATCGAAGCTGTTGGCCAAATTTAAGGCTAATGGCCTACATTTTTCAGAGGTGGCAAGATGCTCACAGACCGCCTTGATACCTCGAGATAACTAAAAGATCCCACCTCCCCCCTTCCCAAAATGATGTTAGATGTAGAAATAAATTAATCCACGGCAACAATGCCACCTAGTGGATATTCTGCATTCTGATATGCATGATGTACAGATGTAAACATTAGGTGATTAAACCATTAACAAGCTAACAACTTAACGAAGATCCAATAAGCACAATCTCTACATGTGGATCGTAACTTCAATATCCTTGCTGGAAAAAAAGCAGCTTAAACCAGCCTAACATCCCTGCTGAAAAAACTGGTTGGCTGGTTTTAGCTGGTTGTCCAGCCTGGTCATAGCTGGTCAGCAGGATGGTTTTAGAGGGGTTTTGGCCACTTCTTTATCTGGTCAGGCTGGGAGACCAGCTACTTCCAGCTTAAACCAGCTAAGACCAGCCAACCAGTTTAGGCTGGTTTTAGTTTTGTTTTTTTTTTTTTTTTTTGCAAATCTTACAAATTGGATTTGTTTTTGCAATATTGTTAGTATTATGGTGGTCTTTTTTTTTTTAAGATTTTGAACTAAATTAAAATGATAATTAAATATATAAGGTACTTTTATACCCCTACCTTTGATGAAAATCATATAAATATTTCTGATTTCATTTAATTAAATGGTTTAGGCCCACTTATGTTAGTAACATGGTTTTAGTTTGGTTTCTCACCATGCCCAGTACTCATGCTAGTTTAAAAGGGACTAAAACCACTGTTAAAACAGAATGAGATAAGATCAGGGTTTTAGGGTGGCTTAATTTTATTTTGAGCAGGTAACAAACATTGCACTAATGGTTAACTTTTAAAAAAATAAATAGAAGAAGAAGAAGTGTTAATTTCAATCGTTATACACCACTAGATGGAGCCATAGTTCAAATGAGCAAGGCAGTTTAGCCTATTGTCATCCAGAATCCTGCTAAAAAAAATACCCCCCGGGCTGTGTCCGAAACCGCCCCCTATATCCTTAAATAGGGCACTATTTGAGGGAACAGCCATTTTTAGTGGTGTCCGAAACCATAGTGGACGTTCTCGAGTGCACTCATTCAATCCCACAATGCACTGCAAAAACGAGTGTACAACTGGTGCACGCTCAACGGCTAGAGAATGCCCATAATGCACCGTGAGAGTCACGCGCCGAATGAATTCCCGCATCTCGCCAGAAGATGGCGCCCGCAGCTGAAGCCTTGCACTCATTTTAAAATAGAATAGGTCACTTCATAGATTAACAGGAATGAAAAACAACAAAAATATTTCTCATATCTTCATATCATTCCTTTAGATTATATTATTGTATAGTGAGTATACAATAATATAACAACAACAATAATAATAATAACGTGTACAGACTGTTTTTTATGTTTCTTTAATATTTTTCCTTTAGTATTGATAACCCTGAAATTTTGCATTTAATCACCAAATTTGCATTTAAATACAAAAAAAGGTTTTCTCAAAACATTGTATATTGTCGCATTACAGGAAGTAGCTGAGGTTATTTTAACACGCTGTACCATACATACTTCATGCTGCACCACTGAAGATGAAAAAAAAAATTGTCTCAGTCCCACTCCCAAAGACCTTTGCTCTACATTAGCTGTGCGCATGCGTCAACGGCAGGGCGATATAGATGTACAGCACGTAGAAGTGAAGCCCATTTCTGTTGGCTGCACAAGGAACAGAATATGACGAAATCATATAATCAGTCTCTTTATATCAACTATATATCTCAATGATTGTGTTTTACCTGCCGATAAGAATAGAAAGAATAACGTTGATGTGTGGGTTAAAATCTGTAATACTTTATCTATGCATATTGGAGTAACAGTTACACCTCTGCCCTCCCTCCCTTGTGTTATGTTTGTACCCTGTTTTGTACCTTGTGCTGGTCGGTTATTTTGGTGCAATGACAAATTAAACCGAATTAGAGCGATTCAGGAGGGCTCTTCCGCCGGACAGTCCGATCACAACGGATTTCTGCGGAGATCTTCATTTATGTGATGAAGTAACAGGCTGTGAATGTCAAACTTTGCGACCTGCATCGGATGAGACCAGGACAATAACTCGGTGAGAACATTTCAAGATCTGTGGATTTCACTTGAAGATCAACATGAAGTTCGCCCAGATCATGCTGAAGAACAGCTCAAAGCTGAACATACCCAAACAAGTGGACAGATTTTCAAAGTACTCTCCGTCCCCTCTATCAATGAAGCAGTTCATTGACTTTGGTAAGTTGTTTAACTGTTACCTGTTTGAAATGGATCTGATGGAGCCAACACACTGTGGTTGTGTCTGAAAACCTAGTGAGCTCACTAATAAAAAGAACAAAAGCACTTTTGTAGTAACAAGTGCACATTATAACATGGTATTTATTTATTAGTCATGGGGAATATGTCATGTACCTTATCAAAATACCACAGTATTACCATTACTGTACCATGTATAACATAGTATTTTTCGTAAGAACAGCTTAACCTACTTATACAGTATTGTCTGCATCATATCTGCAGTGTTCACCTATATGCAGCTGTAATGCACAACATGCTGTCTATATAGGCAGCTCTCTAGGTTTTGAAACACAACCTTCCTCTTAATGCTATTTGGCAGATGCAATCACAAAAAAATCTCTCAAATAACTTTAATATAGCTGTTCGATGATATATAAATTGAATATCACCCCACAAATAAATTGTACCATTGATTTTGTATTTAATAGCTGTACATATTTAATTTTTTAGCATTGTTGCATGTTCTTAAAGACAGCTGTCATAAAAAAACTGAAATATTTTGCTGTTAAAACATCAGTACTAAATAGACCAGCAATTTAAGAACAATTAAAAAAAAGAACAATATTTAAAATAATTCTTACTAATGTAGTCCCGTTTTGCTCGCAGGGTCTGCCAATGCCTGTGAAAAGACCTCCTTCATGTTTTTAAGGCAAGAACTTCCTGTCCGGTTAGCCAACATCATGAAGGAGATCGACTTCCTCCCGGACAAACTGCTCAGCACTCCTTCACTGAAGCTGCTTCATAGCTGGTGAGATCCACAGCTGACATGCTGTTCTAGACTGCCTGAAGTGCCATATGCTCCACTGTGGTGAATTTCAGCCTACTCTAGACTCTCTATTAACTCATATGACATAGTTTCAGCACATGACTTCAAACGAAAGGTGACCATGAAGTCTTTTCGATAAGGACCTTCTAAGTTGGAGAGCAAATAAAAGGTAGATTTGTAATAGTTTGTGAGTTATGATGGACAATGTACAAAATGCTACAATTGCCCTTGGTCTTCCCTGTATGAAACAGATTTGTTGTTGTAAAAAAATATTTTTATAACTTCATATGTGATAGTCTGTTTGTTGCAGGGTCCTTGTCCTCAAAACTCAAGAATCTCTAGAATCATGCTGAGATCAAAACGTGAACTATATGTAACTTTCAAATGTGTTCATCAAAATGTTATGTGGTGTCAGATATCATAAGACACTGTACACAAACAAGTGTGCGCTGCAACCTTCCTAGAGATCTCAGTGTAAACAAGTCCTCTTTGACAATGCGGCACACTGACACAGAACACTGTCATTCAGATGGATTTTAGCTAGTACAGTGCATTCATTGTGTAACATGTACGACTATTGTTCTCCATGCAACACGTCTCCCTTGCCAGCTGTCACATGGGGGTCATGATTTACTCTAACCATTAAATTATCAATGCAAAGCTTTTTAATTACCATTCAGCTTTGGGAAAGCAGTGATAAGAATTGGATCCGTGTTTAGAGTAAATACCTGTCAGTGCTTTGCACCTCCTTTAGCCATTCAGACAAACAACTATATTGGCTTTGTTGTTCAAAGGAAACAATGCACAGTATTACATAATGTGTGCGGTGCATTATGGCTGTGTTTCAAATAGAGCTGGGTATTGGTGCAGATCTCACAATTCAATTTGATTCGCAGGTTTTCAATGCAATTTGATTCTGATCTCATTCGATTTAATTCAGTATTGTTTCATTTAGATATAGTGATGCACCTAAATGATTTTTTTAAGCAAAACTCTGAAACCGAAATTAAAGTTTTCATTTAGTTGAAAACTGAAATGGAATATAAAGTTAATTTATTCATAAATTAATAAATCACATTTATGAGTTGTATATAAGCCAGCCTAAAAATAAACCCTGACTGTTTGTTTACTCTCAAAAACAGGTATGCGCAGAGTCTGATGGAGCTTGTTGACTTTTTGGAGAAAGACCCTGATGATAAAAACATCCTAACTAAGTAAGTACGGTATTCAGGAGCATTCTGAGAAATCCGAAGTCCTTCATGAATGTTACACATTTAGTTTAACTTAGCTGCAGCCTGCTCTAAGTGACCTCTAATAGTGTGTTTAACTGGATGGCATGTCTTTCAGATTCACAGAAACGCTGATCAATGTCAGGAACAGACACAACAATGTGGTGCCCACCATGGCACAGGGAGTGCTGGAGTACAAGGAGGCTTTTGGCGTGGATCCCGTGACCAATCAGAACGTCCAGTATTTTTTGGACCGCTTCTACATGAGCCGAATCTCCACACGCATGCTGATGAATCAGCACAGTAAGTGTTCAGGACATGTACTAAAGCCCTGGCCAAGTAGGATGGATATTTCTGTCTTAGCTGAAACAATATATTAGCAATTTGCTGATAATGCAATGTACCATAGCTTCATAACTGATAAATAGAAAGTATATTTTAAAATTCTGTACTATTTTGTCTAAATAAATTAAAATTAAAACCTTCAAGTGAATTTAGGCATTATATTGTACAGTATGAAAAATTGATATTTGTTTTGAGATTTACTAAGGATTCATTTAACAGTGTTATTAAATTATCAGCATTTATATAACTTTAAATGAGCCTTAGATGATGGCAAATGAAATGTAAAAATAGAGGAAATGAGCAAACATAGTCAAATATCTTCTATTGACTACACTACCATTCCAAAGTCTGCGGTCAGTAGGATTTTTAAAAGTTTTTAAAAAGTAGTCACTTA